TGGCTTTGTTTATCAAAAAATTTTAAAATAGACAAAAATTCAAATATTTTCTGCATTACAATGTAAAAATTGAGCTTTCTGTTCGACTTAAGTATACCAATTATTTTGTTAAGTCCATTCAGTGTTTTTATTCTAACATCTAGACCTGGATTTTTCGACATTATTTATCTAAATCGCATTTTCAGTGAAAAATGAAACAGTGGGAAAAACTACTTCTTTCCTAAATATTAGAACCGTCTAGATCTATTAAAACAGTTAGCAAACGATCAAACCAAAGTCTCGCGATTTTTTGTACAACCGATATATTAGCTTTACGCTTCATTCATAAACATCCATGAATCGTCTTGCAGTATAATCATAGTACTATTTCAAATCGATAATTTTGGATATTAATCTCTCAATGACTAGTTGCGTAACTCCTAAGAGATACTGTACAGTTTATACATATATGCAAGCTGCTCGCTCTTCGTTCGTTAGCAAGCTTCTTATTGTTGACGGTCATGTACTATTTTTGCTTTTTTATAGTTTATCACTTATTATGACATAATTTTCTTTTGGTTTATCATTTAACGGCTGGTGGTCTACTGATAGAAGTCAAAATGATCGAACAATCTGTCATATTTATATTAAGCTGCACATATGATGAAATAGATGATCGTTTGGTGTCATTTAACACTTTTTCGTTTTTTTGAGAAAACGTCAAATATTTTCCATATTGTTGTGTTAATTTACTCACACAGAGTATAGAACTCAATAAAATATAACACATATGTTTTCAATATAAAAAAAAAATTATAACTATTAACTTTATATGACTTATAAAGAAAAGAATGTAGATATATGGCACTTATTCTCTCTCTAGGCGGTACACGCACTTAACTTGTCGCACGCGCTCGTTCATTCGACATATACACACACAATGAAATGAACAATGACGTTATCCATCATTTATTTTGATTAGCATCCATTCAATTAATAATTAGTAGAATAAAATGAATACACTGAGAAGGTGTAGATAGGCACGAAGAAAAATTACCGTACGTAAGCTGTTGGTCGACGTTTATTCTTGTTTCACTAAAAGTTACTGTAGTTTCTAAGATGACATAGTAGTCTTTCGCCTTTAGGAGTTCTGTTATTGACAATTGTACACATATATTCTTCTTCCTTTTTTTAATCAAAATAAAATCTATGTTATCTAAAAAGACATTTGAGTGTCTTTTGTATAAAAAAAATGAATTTATTCTTGATTAATTTTTATCCATGCCTGATAGGTATACATTGCACCTGCATATACGCGCGCGCGTCTGACTATCAGGTTTCAGCAGAGAGAAGTTGCAATATAAATTTTTTCTTTTCATTATTGAAATTTAAATGAGCAGAAAAATTCTCTCAAGTTAAGTGAACATCACTTAACCATAACGATAACTGACAAATGAATAAACGACTGACTCGTCACACTTTTTTTTTGTTTCATTCGTTCAAAGAAAAAGAGAAGAAAAAAAAAGCGGGATGCAATTAGAGAAGATTGAAATAGAGAGAAATAGAGAATGGACAATGAGGCCATGAACAGGATTCCTGTCACAATATGTCGTCAAAAATCATGATATGGTTGATCAATAAACGGAAACACCAATAGGATGATTAATTCCTATATTATCTTCTCGCTTCACTAACACATCTTATCAAACTCTTCACTTTTTTTCGAAAAAAATGGGAAAAACAATTATCATGCATTTATTCTATGCAATGTCCAAATGAAATTAGTTTAAAGTAAATGAGAGCATAGACACATCTCTTCTACTGTTAGTCAGTTATTGAATTGAATTTTCAAGAAAAAAATTCAACAAAAAATACAGTTTATTGCGACAATATATTTCATTGCTTCGCTAATCTCATCGTATAAATTTATTTGTCAAAAAACCTTAGTAGAACTAATCCTTTTATCCTCTACTCCATTAGAAAACTTGTTGTCCGAATCATGTGCAGTCATCGTTCATTCGTTGAAGAAATTTATTATTAAAAATTGTTTCTTTTTATGAAAAAAAAGTTTGTTAACTGAATCAACTCTTCTTTCTTCTTCTGATGACCTACATATATATACATCAGGAAAAAATAGATAGACAGGTAGGTATGAACAAGTATTTCGGTTCAAATCCCGTTGGACTATAGAATAAAAGTGTGAAAAACAACAATGTGAATTTAATGAAGAAGTATTTACTGTTTTATTTTCTTCCAGCATGTCAATCTTTAGGGATTAGATCAGTATTGCATGCGATGTCAACGCCTTTAACATTTTCACAAAAAATGAATGACTAACACTCGAACAAGAGAAAAGAAAGACGATAGTACTAGTAAAAAGAAAAAAGAATTCAATAGACTCATGACTTGCACGAGAAATCCATACCTGACAAGTGAAGTAATTCTTTAAAAACTGTATTCTTATGTACATGTTTGTTTTAATACAAAAGTTAGAAATTTACCTGTTGTTGCTCAAAATTAAAAAAAAAGGGGCAACAAGAAGCCAAATATGATATAGAAGAGCACGCTTTGCATTCCTTTGGGAATATATACTAAAAAACACTCAACAAGTTGATGTTTATTCTAGAGCAACGATGTTAGTTTCAAAAAAGGGAAATCAATACCACAAAGAAGAAGTGTTCAATCGAAAAGAAAATGAAAGATTTTTATTCAAAAACCGATAAACCGTTGGATGTATTTTTCAAATATGATGAAGACAATTTAAGTTAGGGTATTAGATGAAACAGATATTTCTTGATTCTAAACACCGTTAATATGATGATTACTTTTTTAAAGATATATATGAAAAACGAGAGCTGTCACGCATAAAAAATGAATTGTAAAAGTATTGATATTGAACCTGATCTAAAAATATCTAAGAAATTAAGTTTTTCATGCTGATATTGATATAATCGAATTCAGTTATACTCACAGTTGTATATCGAAGTTTCGATAATATATATCGTCATAGCTAACAAATAAAATTATTACGTTTTTATCCAAATATAAAACTTAATTATACTAGTAATCAAAGTATTTAAGAACAGTGGATTTAGTTTTGCAGTTTACTGCAAAACTAAGTTCATGTGTTCGAATCTCTATTCGTAAAAAAATTGATTTTGTGTTTTTCGATAGTTTCAATTTAGAATACTATAATGGAATATTTTTCCGCTTGTATTCTGACAGAATAAAGCTTATTTCATAGTATTTAAGAACTTTTTCGTTAATATGACTTTTTTTTAAATCGAATTCCATCTGCGCGTCTTTTTTCTGTGTATGGAAGCAAAATACGTATATCAGATAACTTTTTTATCTCTTGTGCGATTTGCGTGCTTTTTATATTGTTGTTGTTGACAAAAGTTTATCTATTGCACATGTTACATTAATAATCGCGCGTTTGTTGCTCCCTTTGACGATTTTTTTTTTTTTTCTTCTAAAGATTTTTGATAGATTAGAAATCGATCTCATGCAACAGCAATAGTTAATCATTTTTATTCACAAATCATGAACGTGCGATCAATGTCAAATATTCACTGACCAATTTGTGTGTGTGTCGTTTGAGTTATTCATATCCTAAGTTAATTGAATCATATGCAGATAGTTATTGGTGTGAGATACTATTAAAAAAAAAACGTTAAAAAGATCTGCTGATGGGTGTGAGACATAATCATTTCTAGTGTCAACGTTGTAGGTGCGTGTGAGGAAAAAAAACTGACTTTATTTTCGTATACAGTTGTCTGAGATGTTTTATTCGAACCTTTAATCAAGTAAAAATCTAGCAGATGTCTGAAACCCTATCATCTTTGAACAACAGCAACTTTTTTTGTAAAACAAAGTCAAATTTGATGAAAAATAATTTCGCTATAACGAAAAATTTGGCTGGCAATGAAATTGAACTTTTTCTGTCAAAAACAAATGAAACTTTCTTTTCTTTTTGAAGAAAATGATAGAATAGCTAAATGTAAAATAAATCCTATTGGAAACTTATAAGAAGCAATGAATTTAGTTCAAAAAGAGCATAAAATTATTATGCAAAGCATCTTCTCAATTTTACAATAACTCTGCAAAAAATACTTGCCAATAAGAGAATAATTTTATAAACACTATTGAACGATTAATCTAATTGCTTTAGAATAACTCATCTTCCATATTGCTCAGTTCTTTTCTCGCTTTCCTCTTTCCGCAACCATCATATATCACATTCTTCTTTTCTTTTTCTTTTTTCTTTTTTTTCTTTCTAAATAAACTGCTTCAACATTATTTTCATTGGTTGATTTATGTTCTAAGCGAATAAATTTCTATCACAGAAAAATAGATACGTTTAGTGACAAATTTTATTCTGTCAGACAAAAAAAACACAGTTTGTGTCACGGAAGAAAAAATGACTGCTATAATGATTTAAATAACGTGTACCGCATAATTTCACACATCATGTAAGCGCGTTAAAAAAAATTGAGCTACACGCATCTTCACATACACACACACAACGGATTATGACATTTAATGACAACAATAATGAAGAAAATGAATTAAGTCATCGTATTTTACAAGGTATAGATAAAAAAAGTGAATTAATATGCAGGATTGGATTGTTACAAAGTTCTTTAATGAACATAGATAATATTATTACATTTTCATAATGCTGAACATTATCACATTAAATATGTCATAATACTCAGCATTATTATAAGCTTTTTAACAGAAATCATTTTTCAGTATTCAAATGTTTCATTTTGTAAATTTTTCAATTAGATGATGTTTTTCTAGTTTTTAATGACTGAAGATCATAGATTTTTTAAGAATACAGCTTTTTTTCTGACTTTTTTTATTTATCTATATTGTATTTTAGTTCCATTTCTCGAATGTTCTGTGTGTACATTACCAATATGTGATAAATTTATATTCAAAGTTTTAGATCAGTATTATCATGCGAATTGTTTAAAATGTAACGAATGTCACGTTAAACTAATGGATAAATGTTTTGCACGAGATGGTTACGTTTATTGTAAAGAAGATTTTTTTCGGTAACTATATCCATTATGATCTACCTGTTCATTTTATCTATTTTTCTCTATTTTTCTCTCTTTTTAAAGAAAATTTGGTACTAAATGTGCTTCATGTGGTCACGGTATTCCTCCAACAGAAGTTGTTCGTCGTGCAAATGAATTTGTTTATCATTTACAATGTTTTTCATGTCTAATATGTCATCGACAATTAAAAACCGGCGATGAATTCTATTTAATTAACGATCAGAAACTCTGTTGTAAAATTGATTTTGAAGCATTAAGAAACAAAGGTATTGATATTCATTCTCTTTAGAGTATGAATAATAATATACGAGATATGCGTTATCGTTTGTAGAATTCGACGATACCAGCAAACGTCCACGAACAACAATATCGCAAAAGCAACTTGAAATATTAAAACAAGCATATAACACTTCGTCAAAACCAGCGAGACATGTACGAGAACAATTAGCGGCTGAAACCGGATTGGATATGAGAGTTGTGCAAGTATGTGTTAAATAATATCTTATTGGTCGTTAATAGCGACATTAATTTAGAATTTTGAGTGAAGTAGGATACAGAATTTGAATCTTCCTTTCAGACTTAACTTGTTCATTTAACTTCTTAAGATTTTCATAAAAGAATATGTTCTACTTTAAAAGAATATTTACGTTAGTGGAAGATATACTACTTCTCTGGACGTTTTTGTTTAGGTTTGGTTTCAAAATCGTCGTGCAAAAGAAAAGCGTTTGAAAAAAGACTCTGGACGAAGATGTCCGGGCATAATGAGAAATCTTGAACGAAAAGCACGTCTGAAAAGTAGAAAAAGTCAGAGTACACATGAAGAAGAAACAAGTAATGAAGATGCAGCTGTATCTTATGATGGTATGTATTTTAATTATTTATTGTCCATCCAAAAATGAATGTCGATGATCTTTTTAATAATTCTCTTATTTAGAAGAAGGATGAAGAGTTAAAACTTATAGGATATAGAATAGAGAGTTTGACTCATTCAGTCATGATAATATCAAAGTACGGTTTATAAAATGATTGTCCAAGTAAATCGCTCGAATATCTGATTGTTATATAAAATAACTCTTTTAAGTTTCGTACGTAAAACATAGCCAAAATGTCTAGTCCAGGCTATTCTCTTTATTTTGAGATCTTTATTCTATCCCGATTTCGCTGTAACATAAATTCTTACTCAGAATCAAGTGGAATCGCTTCAAAATTTGTCAATACACTTAATTCTATCTGCTGTACACACCAACACTAGTTGGAAAAAGTAGTAGTTTTACAAAAGATTTTCCTAGAAACTATACACATGCAGTAACTTTTTATTATTTTTCATTTTTCACCATTCAAGACACATCAATTTATCTCTATTCTAAAAACTTCGGGCTAATTAGTTACGCTTTAAATGACCAACAATGATCAATGATCACTCCTTTTTTGGACGAACCAATATGGATTCATTTAATATTTTTTTACATGTTGTGGTTTCTATTTTAGAATTATCAGAACGTGAATCAGATGATTCATTGCATTGTGATCCGAATCTTCAACAGCAATATGAACAATTTTCAGCAAATGCATCTGATACAAATTCGTTTTTGAGTCCAACACAATCACGAACATCGTATTCACAAATGGGCGGTACTGGTACATCATTTGTTGATGACACAAATTCAGTTGTTGCAACACTTCGACCATCATCGACACTGGGTGATCGAACGGAAAATGAATACTGTGATTTAGGTCCAGACTATACTGTTCGTTGGTTAGAACGAGGTTCATAACAATATAGTTATCATCGTTCTTAAATTGCTTTATTCTACGTCTCAGGTTAAATGCATTTTTTCAACAGTATCTTCTAGTTATGTATGGGAACAAACTAGATATTTTTGATTGCTATGGATTATTGAATAACCTCGTGAAATTTTCGAATGCTTTGGCGTGTGAATGTACGTGGTCTGATCTTTGCATCGTCTTTTTTTTTTTGGTTTTATCGGACAATTTTCTGTCATTTTAAGGTAGGTTTTTTCCGTTTTTTTAAATAAATTAAATTCTGATAAGTCAGCTTCAAGAAAAACACTTTTTTGTTGATGACTAAGACCACGAGAGTGTCATTTAGCATTCAGATTCTATCAATCGAATTTCCAATATTCCACCATTCTACTCTAGGTATTACTTAAAAACAGCATGTTTTATTTCTATTTATTATCGTTAAGTGCACGTTATATTTCGTAAGATGAATGCATTGACAAACAGTTTATATTCCTTGGCTACCGATGGATATCATTCTTATTAGATGAAATATTTGTTCTACAAGATTTTGTTTTGGAAATAACAGATGTGCATTTATAACAGATCATCTTGAAGAGATCGTAGCTATGTAAGGAACAGAGTTCACAGAATGTTTCGGAAAAAGCTCGTACTAATACGAGAATTATCTTATTTTATCCCCAAGTGAACTTTCTCGCTGAAGTCGCAGCAAGGCTCGCGAAATAAGAGTCTGGCTTCGGGATCAAGATTTTCTTCACGATTAGCTAACTTTGCGATCGCTCTTGGGCGGACTCTTACACTCGCGGCAAGAGTTCCGATAGTTTTGAGCGCACTCTTACACTCGCGCATGACGCTTGGTCAAGTCAAGAAAAACAGCCTTTTTGCGACATGAGTCATGATGGTCGCGTCGCGACCCATGCTGCTCGCGGCGAGAATCTCGAAAATATTTTTTTAATTTTCAGATACTTCCAGGATTAATGAATGATTCACGAAAAAGTCTTGGGAACGTGACTCTCTGTGCGAAAATTAAAGTTCAGGAAGCGATGAGTAAAACGTCTGTTGTGTTGTTTCTTTCGTTCGTTTATATAACTTTGGCTGCGAAACGTTGAATGAGTTTTGGAGCGCGACTTATGTCGAGACAGTTGACTTAGGTCTACTATCAATGTGTTTCCGAACCACTAGGAACAGGAGGCCTGGTGAAGGTGTATAATACAAGTTTCTAATATAACTGTTTGTTTTCATATTGTAACAAATTAAAGTTTGAGTTTACTAACAATGTGAACCCAGTTAAATTGACTGAAAATCTGTTTTTTTAGTCATGTCTCTGCTAAAAACGGCTGAAAAACTTTTAAAAAAAAACAAAAAAAACGATAACATATCAGGAATGCTAATGAATTGAAATAAACCACCTCACCCGACGAGACGATACTCTAATCCACATTCCTTAATATCTAAATATTCGTGATCGTAATAGAAAATCGAATCGAGTTGTGCTGGATGAAAGTTTCAGCTCAGGAGGGAGTTAAAACGATATTAGCAACATCATTATTAAGGAAACGAACAGTAGGACTAGTTTATCGTGTCGTAAATGGCAAAAGAATTTTATGACTCATTATAGAAATCAGAACTTTCTTCATGATTTTGACGACATGGAAGCTTATTAGATCGTGGTAAACGTCCAAAAAATATTTCTCCTCCAGGCAGGAATTTCCAGGCATCTCAACTATGGATGAGTGTTCAAACTACGCGTGAGTGTTCAAAACGGTCAGGCGAAACAGGCGCCATCTGTTTTTTTAAAAATTCTGTGAAATTAATAGAAATTCACTATTTCTATGAAGAGTCACTTGTGGCTGCAATTTGGTAGCAACTTCTTTTCGATTTTGACCTGCACCTTAATCAAGGCGTTGCTTAGATACGCTGCACGAAGAAGATACTCAACAAATGGCACCACTTCTGACATGAGTAATCAATTATCGAGAACTTTTCGTAAAACATCTGTTTGCATTAAAAAGCGTGTTTTTCACCGACAGTATGATGATCATGCAGTTGTTGTTGTATTGTTGTAGAAAAGCAACGAACATGGAATAAATTGCACTACTTAGGGCTGAATTGGATATGAATAGTTGCCAGTGGAGTTTTCAGTTTGATCAAAAATGATTTACGATAATTTTTGAGGCATTCATTATTTGGTTTTACTACTTTAAGAACTCCCCAAGTCCACTTTCTTGCTTCATTCGTGCCCACGAACGCGGTTCTGGCTCCGCGATCGAATCGTGGAGTCGCGCCGCGACCGCTAAGAAGTCGAGCTGTTATCGAGATGCGATCGCGATGAACTCTTATTTTTCGGAAGTTTGTAATTCCCGATTGTAAAGCGACTTTTTGGTGATCACGGTGGGATTTCACGATCCGAGCGCGATCACTGTAAGAAAAAATTGTTACGTCGTGATTGCATTTTTCTCTTATAATCGCGATATGATACAGGGTTGCGGCGCGATTTCCGTCCGAATCCTATCCACCGTTTTGCTTATGCATCTGGTATATAACTCTTACTGGTTTTTCGAAAAAGTTTCAAAATCTTATCACATCTTAATAATAGCTTACGATATGGCTAATATAGTCTCGCGCAGTCGTGTCTCGCGTATATTATTCGTCTGCGTTCCCGTTAAAAAGACGAAAAACGTGACTAAACAGTAACTATAGTAAAATACTTGAGAGTCAAGATCGATTTTTATATGAGCGGAAAATATCGCGTCTTATCTCGAGAGTCTTACAGCGAACGCGTTACACGATTTTGCCGTGAATTTTAAACTCGTGTCGTGACAGAAAGTGGACTTGGGTCCGAAAATGTGCAACTGAATGTTTCATCTAACGACTTCTCACTTCTGCAGGATAACAATCTTCTTCTCTAATGCATAGTAGTTAATGAATTTCTACTCTAAATGATTTTTCAGCTTGACAAAGGTGATTCAACAGATAATGAGGACAAAAGTAGATGAGATAAACTGTTCAAAAATTTGACTGAACTTCTGAGTGTATGCATACATAGATAAAAAAGATATAGGAATGTTTGTTTGTTTCCTTCCTTAACCTTAAGTACGTGCAGCACTAAATTCTTTTGTGGTTGATGGCAGACTAGAAGAAGATTTTGTCTAACTTTTGTTCAGGAAAGAAAAAAAAGCATTATAAGTTTAGTTTTCTCAAATTTTTGTTAGAACATCAAGATATGCCGGAAGATTTACGCAAGAATTATATTATAACAACGGTATCAAATTATTTTGCTGTTGATCATGATAGTTTATCAAATTTATTTGATCATCGTTCATTAAGCAACTTTCTTGATGATGCTAATTGTGCAATATTATGTGCTTATCGTGGAAAACAAATTGATCTTTCAAATGAAGTAAGTTCTAAACGCATTTATCTCCTTCATACATACGTTAGTTGAATGATATTCTTTAGATTAAACTAACGGATGGTAATCAATGTTTAGTTTTATTCAAATTTCGTCCGGAAATTATTACACCTGATAATTTATATACAAACATATTTTTATCATCAATGATTGATTCACCTATTGAATCACTTTATCATATTATTAAAGATGTATTTGCACCCGCTCTGAGAGATAAACGTTATGCGGATACAATTGATTCACATTTACAAAATTCACTTGGCAATTTAGAAAACGGTCTTGGGAATGTATTACGTTCCACATCTACTTCTTCGAGCAAGAAAGGATCCAATTTCTCTAGTATACTACGTCCAAGTGAAGAAATGCGCTATTGGTCTGAAATGGCATCGTCTACTGGACAAAAAGCAAAAGATAATGAACGCGCCGCACATTTTGCTAAATTGTTTGAACCAATACGTAAATCATATGAAAATTTGGATACATTAAGTTTAGTTGAACTATTGGATGTTGTTGAGCAAACACAAGATGTTTATGATGAAATATGGCAACAATTAGATTATGATGAATATCCAGAAGCAAGAATGAAACATTTGTTAACTATTACATCAAATGCGCTCATTCAAGCTGTTCAAAAACAATTATCAACTCTTGATCTTTGGCAAGATCAAAAAAATTTTGTACAGATGAAAGAACAATTAAGAAATGGTGCGAATGTTTGTGAACGTTGGGCATATGCAACACAAACATTAACAAACAAACACTGGAGAGCATTTCCACATCATCCATGGAAAGGTGAACCATTTCAAGCCGATTTTCTAACACAATTCAATAAACGATTATACGAAGTAAGCGCAACACTCTGTGAAGTATCATTTATCAGTAATTATTACAATTAACATTCCATTTAGATCATTAGTGTTCGTTCATCATATGAACAAAGTATTCGATTTAGTTCACAACCGGATGGTTTGCCACCCGCTAAAGCATATTCTTCATTCAGCGGTCTAAATCCAATTCAATATAATCCATATACAGAGCCATTATGGCGGGCGGCTGTTTCACAGTTTGAACGTGTCATGCAACCCACTGATCGTGAGGTGGCCAAAAAATTAAAAGAGCATTTTCAAAAAATACGATCAAATCCACAACAAATGTTGAGAGATTTTACACGTTTTTGTGATTTAATTAAACGTGAACAAATTAGAAAAGAATTGACATCAGAAAGGTCTGTTTGTTTCACTATATTTAAAAATTATAATAAAATGAACATTATTGTTGTTTAGAGAATTACTTCTAGGACAATTAGAAAGTTATGTTCGTAATTTAAATGAAGAATTTAATAATTTATGTAACGGAAGACGAAAACCGCCCATGGGCGTCAATCAAACAGAAATTGTTGGTGCCATCGTATATGTTAAACAAATTGAAGCAAAAGTAATATTTTAGTTGATAATTAAAATATTTATTTTGTTTTCTATTGTTATTTTTCCTTAAAAGATCGATGAAGTATTAAAAACCGGTGAAATGTTATTAGGTGATTTATCCGGCTATCAACGTTTATCAACATTGACAATAACTTTAAAAAAAGAATTAACAAATTGGAGAAAAGATAAATACAAAGAATGGTGTCAAGATACAAGTCGTGCAATTGATGATCCACAAGAAAAATTGAGGTAAGCCTTTTTCTCACACTCTCACTCATTCTTCGATCATCAAATAAAATCATTTGTTTGGTTTTTCATACATATAGTTTAGAAACAAGCGGTCGTCTAATGGAACTTGATCAAAAAGATGGTAAACTATGTGTATTATATGGTGATCGTTTAGTGACTTTATTACGTGAAGTTCGTCAACTGTCAGCACTTAGCTACGAAGTACCATCCAAAATTAGTAAATGTGTGGCAATTGGTGAAAAATTTTTTAAACATGGTCTCGTACTAAAACAGGTAACATTAGAACTTATAATTAAATATAGAATAAAAAATAAAATTCACAATCTAGGTTGCTCATTTCTATAATACAATTGATACACAAATGTTACCATCTCAACAATCGATGATGTTAGATTTGGCCAAAAATTTTGAAAAACTTGTTAAAGATCCAAAAGTATCACGTGGACGTATGTATACCTTTATCTTTTATTTTTTTATTTGTTTAATTTTGATTGCTATTTGTTTGAAGGTGGAGGTGGTGACGGTGTACAAATTACTTGGGATAATCCAGAACAATTAGAACGTTATATTCAAACATTGCAGAGTGCTGCAGAAAAATTAAGTACAGAAAATCGTAAATTACGTAAACAACATACACAAATAACAGAAATTGTTTGTAATATGATGAATATTGATTTATTGAGACAACAACAAAAATGGAAAGATCAAGTACAAGATATAAGAAAAATTATGGATGATATAACATCACAAGTAATATTTTTTAGTTTTATTATCTATCGTTTATCTAATTTCAAAATTAATATTTTATTTATATTTAAGGGTTATACAACTGAAAATATGAAACCATGGCGTTCATATTGGGATAGACAATTGTACAAAGCATTAGAAGTACAATATGTTATTGGATTAGAATCATTAAATGAAAATTTACCAGAAATTAAGGTTGATCTTGTATTTCGGTAAATTAATTTAGATATAATTAGATGATAAATGAATTCATCTTTTTTGTATTATTTTTTATTTAGTCAAAAAACAATTCAATATAGTCCATCAATTGAAGATATTAAATCAAAATATTATCGTGAAATGAAACGTTTTCTATCTATACCATTAAATTTTAAAGGTTGTAGTGATCAAACAAGTGGAAAAAATTTAATATTTCAAAGTATAATGGCACGTTATTCTCAACAAATTATCAGTTGTTTTTATAAATCAAATGAATTATTTGCTAGATTAGAGTTTGGTATTGATCAATTTAAAGTATGAAATATAAAATTATTTAAAATTATTAAATTATTTTTTCATTATTTAACTGTATATATATATATATATATTTTAGGAATGGGTTGTTATTGGCCAATTGGATATTGATCAATTAGTTGAAAATAATCTTCAAGATGTTTCCGATTGGGAAAGAAATTTTAAAGCTTTAAAAATTCGTGGTCGTGATGCTGAAAAATTACCAAAGTATAATAATTCAATTCATATATTTATTTTTGCTAGAAATTAATTTTATTCTTTTCTTTTCTTTTGTATAGTCAAGTGAAATATGATTGTTTTACTGTAAATACGAGTCCATTGAAAGCATCAATTGAAGATCATTTACAACGATTATTTGATGCAATGTTAAATCATTTAAAACGTGCTATTGTTAAAGATATACAATCAATTGATACATTTGTTAATGAAGGTTTAGAATCATTACAGGGACGACCACAAACACATGAAGAAATTGGAAATGCCTATAAAAGACATGAAGAATTAAATGCTAAACGAAGAGATGTAGGGAATAGAAATAAAATAATTTAAAATTTAAAATATTTAAAAAATTTGTTTATATTCTAGGTTTTACCTTTGTATGAAAAAGTTGAATCAAAAAATAAACTATTACGTTCAGTGGCTGGTGGTGGTCATGAACAATTAGTTCAATTACAAATGAAAATTGATAAATTTGAAACAATGATGGATTCACATCAACAAATGATACAAGAACAAAAAGATGTATTAAAAAAAAATTTACAATCACGATATGAAACATTTTTAAAAGAAAGTGATAAATTAAAATCACGTTGGCAACAATTTCGACCGAAAGAACATGATATGGAAGATGAACGAAAATGTACTGAATCATTGAAATTAGTACGCGAAAAAGAGAAAGAAATGCAAGAGATGATAAAACAAAAAGAAAAATTAATGTAAGTAGAAAGAAATGAGATTGAATATAATTTAAAAATAAAAAAAAAAAATGATTGTTTTTTTTTTTTTACAGTGAAGAATTTAAAATGTTTGGTTTGGATGAGCCCAGTTTTCAAGATTTAGACGAGGTAACAACGGATATAAATCGAATAAAAAATGTTTGGGGAATATATGAAGAATTTCAACAAGAATTAAATGAATTAACAAAAGAAGATTGGATTACATTTCGTAGTAAAACTTATCGTTTTGATGAATTTTTACAAAATTGGCAAGAAAAATTGAAAAAACTCAGTCAAGATGAAAAAACAAATGATACAACATCATCAAGAGGAAAACAAAAAGGTGGTAGTAGTACACAATCATCATCAACAAGTACAATGCATATGAGAATTCAACAAGATATTGATTTATATAAAGAAGTTAGTCCACTTTTTAAATGGGTAAGAGGTGAAGCTTTATCACCTGATCATTGGCTCGATTTATTTCGTATATTAAAAATGCCTCGTGGTACAACTATTGAAAAATTAACATTTGGAGATATATTAAAATCAAAACAAGAAATAATATCTAATGCTGAAGCTGTTAAGGTTAGTTCATATTTTTTTAAATTATATAAATTAATAGTAATCAAATATTATTATATTTCAACTAGGATTTAAATGCTCGAGCACAAGCTGAACATACTATTCGTGAAGCATTACATGAATTAGATGTATGGGGTACGAGTGCTCAATTTTCTCTAACCGATTATCAGGATACTAGACAACAAAAATTACAAATAATTAAAGATTGGAAAGATTTATTTACACAAATTGGAGATAATCAAAGTTTATTATCATCGTTAAAAGATTCACAATATTATAAAAATTTTGAAGATAAAGCACAAGTATGGGAACAACGTTTAGGAATTTTAGATGAATGTTTACATCATCTAAATCAAATACAACGAAAATGGGTCTATTTGGAACCAATATTTGGTAGAGGTGCATTACCAAAAGAACAAGCACGTTTTAAAACTGTGGATAAAGATTTTCGTGATATTATGAGTGATATATCGAAAGATTCTCGTCTTGTACAATTAGCACAACGAAAAGATTTATCGATGATATTGAAAACAATGTTGGATCAATTAGGCAGATGTCAAAAAGCGTTAAATGAACTTCTAGAAGTATAAACTCCATATGATAGACAATAAAGATCAATAGTAATTAATTTGTTCTCCTTTTTTTTCTCTCAGGAAAAACGATCGATATTTCCAAGATTTTATTTTATTGGTGATGATGATTTATTAGAAATACTTGGACAAGGTAATGAACTTATTGCATTTAAAAAAAGATCACTTCTATCTTTTCTACACTTCTAAAGAACGTAGAAGACTTAATGCAAAATACCTCATTTTTCAGGGTGGATAGATCTTGATGAGTAGTATTCACTGAGTAATGAAAAAATTCTGCTAGATTCGTTTTTTCCTTACGCTGAGTTTTTCCGTCGTATATAATGGAACAGTAAAAAATGGCTGTTTCTCAAAGCAGCATTTCATCTCTTGTACCCTGGCCGATCGTGTTTAAATTGTTTTTTTTAATAGACAAAATCAAACCGTGAGTCTAACTAATTTATTTTCATAAATTCATCTTAGTTAACTCCAAATGACAAAAATACAAAAACAAAGCATCACACTGATTAGTTTAAAAAGTTTTGCTCATCTTTGTAAAGTATGAAAATAATTTAGAGAAGTAAAAAATGATGAAATATTGCGCTGTTGCCAAAAATTGTGTAGAAAAGAACTGACTATCATTTTAAAGAGTTTGACTGTACATAAAAACATGTTAAACTCAATTTTTCAAAGAAAAATGTTTTACTTCGGGACCGAAGAGAATCCTTATCAAATCATTTATTAAAAATTCGGATCATTTATTTAGCGACAAATCCAAATGTAATTCAATCACATTTGAAAAAACTATTTGCTGGTATCCATTCTGTCCGATTTGATGATCAAAATCAACATATATTAGCGATGCGCTCGCTCGATGGTGAAATTGTTCCATTATCAACTAAAATTCGTATAACAACATCTGTTGAAGTAAGAATTCGAAAAACAAAAATAGAAAGAACATGTGGAAAAAAAAATATGAGTTTTTTTCTAGGAATGGTTGAACGAATTATCAAAAGAAATGATTAGTACATTACAAAAATTATTGGTTAATGCATTAAACGATTCAAAGAAACAGCTTGGACAAATACCAATTGAAAAATATCCATCACAAGTAAATGTTTCGTATGTAGATTTAAACTTAAACTTCAATTGTCTCATTTTTTAGATATCTTGTCTTGCTGAATTGATTTTATTTACGGAAAAATGTGAAGAAGCAATTCGTAGTGGTCAATTAGATAAATGTTTGAGCGATGTTCAACAAATATTGGAAAAATATACAAATGTTCATATAAATACAGATACAATCGAAGGTGTTGTGATGGATCTAAAATATAAAGCATTAATTATGGATACTATACACAATATGGATGTTGTAAAACAATTAAGAGATTCAAGAGTGAGAAATTTATTCGATTGGCTATGGCAAAAACAATTGAGGTGAGACATTGATTTATAAACGGCGTTAGCTACAGATTCTTATGATGTTTCTCTTATTGAAGGTTTTATTTGGAAAATAACAAGGCTATAATGCGTATGGTGGATGCTCAATTTAACTATACATACGAATATCAAGGAAATGCACCGAAATTAGTTCACACCCCCTTAACAGATAAATGTTATTTAACATTAACGCAGGGTTAGCCGTACTAATATGAACTTAACTTAACAAAGTTTAGAAAAACTTGACTATTTTAGGTATGCACATGGGTTTTGGTGGAAATCCTTATGGTCCAGCAGGTGAGATTTTCTTACATGAACTTTCACTGAATACGATTAATACTTGTCTGTGTGTCTGTAGGCACTGGAAAAACTGAATCTGTGAAAGCATTGGGGTCAACCTTTGGACGACAAGTACTCGTATTCAATTGTGATGAAGTAAGGTCATGGAAATCTTAATTTCATACACACACACACAAACAAACATATCGTTCATATAGGGTATTGATGTCAAATCGATTGGTCGAATATTTATTGGTATTTGCAAATGTGGTGCGTATCACAAACGTTCTCTATATACCATTCTGTATTAATCTAATGTTTGTTTTTTAAGATGCTTGGGGTTGTTTTGATGAGTTTAATCGTTTGGATGAAGCTGTGTTATCTGCTGTATCAATGCAAATTCAAGTGATACAAGATGCATTAAAAAGTGGTTCATCATCGTTAACATTGTTAGATCGTAAAATTAATATCAATCCAAATTCGGGAATATTTGTAACCCTAAATCCAGCTGGTAAAGGATATGGTGGTCGTTCAAAATTACCGGATAATCTTAAACAATTATTTCGACCTGTGGCAATGTCAAAACCAAATAATGAATTAATTGCTGAAGTTATATTATATTCTGATGGTTTTAAACAAGCAAATATATTGGCAAGAAAATTAGTGGCACTATTTAATTTATGTAAAGAATTATTGACTACACAACAACATTATGATTGGGGTCTACGAGCATTAAAAACTGTTTTGAAAGGATGTGGAACATTATTAAAAAATGCCAGAGCAAATAAAGGTACGATAATTAAACAACAAAATATTCAAAATACCAATGTTTTATATTCTAGTTGATGTGTCATCTCAGCTTGAATTACAATTAGTTGTTCAAGCGGCGCGCATAAACACATTGTCAAAATTGACGTTTGGTGATTGTAAACGTTTTGATGCATTGTTACAAGACATATTTCCAGGAGTATTACTGAAAGATATCGAGTATGAAACATTACGTCTAGCATTAAACGAAGTTTATAATGAACATCATTTATTATCAAATGATATGCAGGTAGAGAGAAATTTTAAAGGTTAATAAGTTGAATACAGTTGTCATATTATAGATTCGTAAAGCTCTTGAATTATATGAACAACTTCGTCAACGAATGGGAGTAGTGATTGTGGGACCAAGTGGATCAGGTAATCCATTCTCTTATCTTTTCCTATAAAGTCAACATAATATGACACAATTTAGGTAAATCCGTTTTATGGAGTATGTTACGTTATGCATTACAAAAAATCGGACAAAGTGTAAAAACCTACGTAATGAATCCAAAATCGATGCCACGTACTCAATTACTTGGACATATTGATATTGATACAAGAGAATGGTCTGATGGAGTTTTAACAGCTGCATCACGAGCAGTTGTCAAAGAACCATTAGGTATGCCCAGTCTAAGCTAAGTTACGTTTGAAAACTTTAATATTTCTATTTGTATAGAAATTAATTCATGGATTGTGTGCGACGGTGATGTTGATCCAGAATGGGTTGAATCATTGAATTCTGTTTTGGATGATAATCGTCTATTAACAATGCCGAGTGGTGAACGTATTCAATTTGGACCGAATATTAATTTTCTATTTGAAACACATGATTTAAGTTGTGCATCGCCAGCAACAATATCGAGAATGGGAATGATATTTCTTAGGTAACATTGTAGAAAGTTGTCTATACTTTTAAGAATGTTAAATAATCTTCATTCTTTGTTTTCTCAGTGATGAAGATACAGATGTTAAAGCTGTTGTACAATCATGGTTAGCCAAAGAACCAGATGATACACGAACCATGACCGAACAATTTATCAACGATTATTTTTATGAAGCATTCAATTGGGTTACCAAACAGGTAACCCAAAATGTTGTCAAAATTGCCTAACTTTGCCGAATCAATCGCGATTTTTTAGCAATATTTCTACGACGACAAACGGAAAAAATCGCCGATTAATTGTGCGATGTTTTTGCTTGTCGTCATAGAAATATTGCTGAAAAATCGCGATTGATTCGCCAAAGTTAGGCAAATTTGATAACACGGAAAAATAACAAAATTCTTATATGTATCAAAATTTCTATGAAGTTTTTTGTTTCTGTTCAATTAGGGTGATTATGTTGTTGATACAACATTGATTGGTACTGTATTAAATGGATTATCTCATTTGCATGGTGTCAAAGAAAGATCACTATTTACTATTGGACTAATACGTGGACTTGGTGGAAATCTTGGTGAAAAATCGAAAGAAACATTTGCACGTGAAGTAAGCTGGTTTACAAACCATACTTTGGGATTATAATGATGTTTTTTCTATGTAGGTGTTTAAAATAATGGGTGAACATGCTCCAGATCCAAATAACATATTATCTGTAGCTTACGATGAAAAAACAAAGAGTTTAATTAGTTATGCTAATGAAGTAAAGAACTTTTCATCCGCTTTTTTTTTTGTATAATATAATAAAAAACTGCTTTCTATTTAGGAAAAATATGATTTGACACCAGAAAATTTTACAAATTCATTCAATTTACCTGTTATTCGTACAGTCGATATTCAACGTTATCTCGATTATTTTCTACCATGGTTGGATTCCAAACATCGCAAACCATTTCTAGTTGTTGGACCTGATGGATGTGGCAAAGGGTAATAGTCACAAAACTAATATGATATAAAATAGTCAATATTTTCATTATTTATTTTAGAACCTTATTACGTTATTGTTTTCGTCAGCTACGTTCAACTCAAGTAGCCATACTTCATTGTAGTGCTCAAACATCACCAATTCATGTATTACAAAAATTGAATCAATCATGTATCCAAGTTTCATCGATTAATGGACGAACATATAAACCAAAGGATTGTGAAAATTTAATACTTTATATGAAAGATATTAATTTACCAAAGTAAATATATCTGACATTTGTCTCTGGAAAACATGTAATAGTAATGTCATTTTAGACCAGACAAATGGGGTACAAGTCAATTAATTGCATTTTTACAACAGGTATGTTTCTTCTAATCAATATTAAATGTAAAAATGAACAATTTTTCCTTATAGATTTTAACCTATAACGGATTTTATGATGAAAATTTGGAATTTGTTGGTTTAGATAATATTCAAATTGTTGGTAGTATGAATGCATTAAATACGTTAGGTAGACATAAATTATCAACACGTTTTACTTCAATCGTGAGAATATGTTCAGTGGGGTATGTATATCATCAATAATAGGTTGAATATTGAACTATTGTACTTGATTCTCATATTTTATTTTGATAGATATCCAAATGAAGAACAATTACAAACAATCTATGGAGCCTATTTAAGACCAATATTTCAAGCACAATTACAAAATCATCGTCTTTGGTCAAATAGTGGAAAAATACATCAGTTAGCATTATCAATGATCCATGTTTATAATGAAGTAAAATATAACATTTTCTCATTTATCTAACCGCTTAAAAATATATTTTAATTGTCTGTTTTTTCTTGAATTGTAAGAAGATTGAGAATATTTATAATATCATAATCATTTTAGTTACGTTCTCGTTTTACTCAAGATGAACAAAGTCATTATTTATTTACTCCACGAGATTTAACACGATGGTGTTTAAGTTTTTTACGATATGATTTTTCATCGATTGGTAATGATCAATCAGCCGATAGCATCCTAGAAGTGTGGACATATGAAGCATGCAGGTTTGACTTAGTTATTATTTTTCTATTCACTTAAAATAAAAATCGTTTTTTGATTATTTATTAGATTGTTTAAAGATCGACTTGTTGGAAACGAAGCACGTGCTAAATTTGATCAACTTATTGAACATATATTACGTAGTGATTGGTCATCAAATGCATTAAGCGCATTGAATGGTATATGATGATATATTATTAATTAAATTTTACTTTTTTTTATCTTGTCTTTTTGAAGATACTTATTATGTATCATGGTTGAATAGTGGAACGAGACGAATACTTCCACCAGCTGGTAAAATGTTATCAAAATTATCTAGTAAAGATTTAATTCCACTTGTTGAACGTGGCATTGCACGATTTCGTAAGATTTATTTAATTAAAATAGTTATTTTAAAAAAATGAAAATATTTTTGTTTCTTTTTCTAGGTGCCGATTATCGTGATAGTGATGTATTTATATTTCGTGAAGTATTAGAATCAATGGCACGATGTGATCGTCAATTAACCACACCTAGTGGTTCATTATTATTAGCTGGACGAAGTGGTGTAGGCCGACGAACAGCTATTGGCGTTGTTGCTGCCATGAATAATATGAAATTATTTTCTCCCAAAGTTGGTCGTAATTATGGTATGAAACAATTTAAAGCCGATTTAAAAACGGTAATTAGAGAGTCTAATATTATTTAAAATAAAGAAATTTTAATATATGATCATTTTAATTAGATTATTCAAAGTGCCGGAGTTGATGGTGAACAATGTATATTACTTATGGAAGATTATCAATTTATTGAAACAACATTTGTTGAATTAATAAATAGTTTATTATCAGCTGGTGAAGTACCAGGATTATATGCACCAGATGAATTTGAAACTATTCTTGGACCATTGAGAGAAGAATCAGCACAAGAAGGTTTTAGAGGAACAATGGTTCAATATTTTGCACAAAGTATAATATTTTGAAATAATTAAAATTAAATAGAGAAAATATAAAATATATTTATTATAGGAGTAAAAATAAATCTTCATATTGTTTTGGTAATGGATTTTACTCGACCTGATTTTACGGTTATTTGTCAGAGTAATCCAGCTTTTTTCAAAGAATGTGCCGTACAATGGATGGAAGGATGGTCGAAAGAGTCAATGTTAAAAGTAAATAAAAACTTCTTTTTTTTTTGTATTATTTTTGACGATTATTTCATATAAATACACTCTTTTAGATTGTACCCTATATTTTAAATACGGATGATACTAGTGCTGCTACTGGCAAGTCAAAATCAACAGCTGTTATTGATGAAGAATTATTAAAATCATTTTACATTATCTATAAAAATATTGATCCAAAACATTCGACACCAAAACGTTATTTAACATTTTTACAAACATATTGTACCGTTTATTCATCGAAAAAAGAAGGTATTACAAAAAGACAACAACATTTAAAAAGTGGTGTGTCAAAATTAAATGAAGCGAGAACAATTGTTGATGATTTAAAAAACAAAGCAAAAGATAAACAACAAGAATTAGCAATTAAACAACGAGAAGCTGATAATGCATTGAGTGATATAACAAAAAGCATGGCGGTATAGAAGAAAACTTAAAAATAATCGATGACTCTTAAATTATTTTTGTTTATAGGATGCTGGTCAACAAAAAACGGAAATGGAACATTTAAAAGGCAAAGTAAATGAAGAAACAGTTATTATTGAAAAACGTAAACGTGTTATTGATGATGAATTGGCTGAAACACAACCATTAATTGATCAGGCAAAACAAGCTGTTGGTTCAATTCGTCCAGAGACATTAGTTGAAATACGTTCATTACGTGCACCACCAGATGTAATTAAAGATATTCTCGAAGGTGTCTTGAAATTAATGGGTGTACTCGATACATCATGGACATCAATGAAAGCGTAAGTTTTTCTAGCAATCCATTTTTTTCTTGATTTTTACTAATCTATTTTCTAATTAAAATGAATAGATTTTTGGGTAGACGTGGTGTCAAAGAAGATATATTAAATTTTGATCCAAGAAATGTGACAAAAGATAATCGTGATTCAGTTGAACAACTTCTAAGAAAAAAAGCTGATTCATTTACACCAGAAGTAATTTTTATTAATAATTGTATAATAGTGTACTGAATATTTTATTATTATAGAATGCAGCAAAAGCATCACAAGTAGCTGCTCCGTTAGCGGCATGGGTCTCAGCAAATGTCAAATATTCAAAAGTATTAGAAAAAATTCGACCATTAGAAGATGAACAAGATAAATTGAAAAAGTTAGACTTCTTAAACAAATTTAAAATTAATTTTTTGTTTAAAATTAACTTTTTTTCTATTTTTTTTTAGAAATTTAGATCATTCTACGAGAAAAATGGATGAATTACGTAGCGAATTATCACAAGTAGATAATAAAGTGTCCACATTACGTACAACATTTGAACGTACAACGAATGATGCTCAACGTTTAAAAGTTGACTTAGAAAAGGCTCAAGAAACAATTGATGCTGCGCAGAATTTAGTTGGAAAACTAGAAGGAGAATATTCAAGGTAAGTAATTAATAGAATAACATTCTAAATTCATACTCATTTATGATCATTATCCAATAAGATGGTCGGCACAAGTACATGAATTAGAAGGACAATTGAAAACATTACCAAAATTATGTTTGTTATCAGCTGGATTTATTACCTATTTGGCCGGTCAATCAGAAGATATTCGAATAATAAAAATGAAAAAATGGAAAGAAGAATTAAATATAACAGAAAAATTTGATTTTAGAAAATTTTTATCAACTGAAAGTGAACAACTGATATGGAAAAGTGCAGGATTACCATCCGATGATTTGTCAATGGAAAATGCTGTAGTTATTCTAAGAGTATGTACATCAATTTAAATAATAGATTTAATTTTAATTATGTTCTAATAACAAATAACAACTAATTTTCTATTTTTAGTCTAAACTTTGTCCATTTTTGGTTGATCCATCATCTCGGGCCACCGAATGGCTCAAAACACATTTAAAAGATAAAAAAGTAGAAGTCATTAATCAACAAGTAAATATCTAATTCTATCAATATATAATAGTACTATCTATATATGATGTACTTTTCTAGGATAGTAATTTTACTACTCAACTTGAACTTGCTGTTAGATTTGGTAAAACATTAATTGTACAAGAAGTTGATGGTGTTGAACCCGTATTATATCCAGTACTCAGACAAGATTTAGCAGCGCAAGGTTTGTATCATTGATTTATGACTAATATATTTAATATATACTAGTTGTTTTTCTACTGATAATATATAAATATCTTAATTGCTATTATTACCATGTAGGACCACGTCATGTTGTACAAATTGGTGAAAAGACAATTGATTATAATCCTGATTTTCGTATCTATTTAACTACTCGAAATCCAAATCCAGAATTATTGCCGGATATGGAATCAATTGTCAATGAAGTTAATTTTACAACGACCAGAGCTGGTTTAACTGGTCAAGTAAGTCGGATGACAAGAAAATAATTAATTTTTAATTCAAAAATTTTGTATAGTTATTGGCCACTGCTATTCAACATGAAAAACCAGAATTAGAAGTACGAAAAACTGATTTATTACGTAAAGAAGAAGAATTAAAAATTGAATTGGCAAAATTAGAAGATCAATTATTAGAAGTAAAATATTTAGTATTTTAGTAAAAATTAATAAATTAACAAAATATATTCATTTAATTATAGGAATTAGCAAATGCTAAAGGAAATATATTAGAAAATAAAGAAGTACTTTCATCATTAAATAAAACAAAAGAAAAAGCAGCTACTATACAAAGTGCACTCGAAGAATCATCACAACTTGGTGCCGCACTAGATAAAGTAAGTATCTATTTATATGTTTGACCAAGATTATAAAAAATCTTTACAAGATAATAATTAAATTTTAGGAACGAAATGATTATATATCATTAGCTGAACATGGTAGTCAATTATATTTTGTTATATCCGATTTGTCAAAAGTAAATAATATGTACAAATTTAGTTTGGCATCATTTTTAAGATTATTTCAACGAAGTTTAGAACGAACAGATGTAAGTTTTTCATAATAGTCAATAAATATGTTTAAGTATAAAGAAATTAATATTGAGTTCTATTCTAGGCAAATGTAAGTGAGTGTGAGTGAATATTTGTGTGAGCATTTCTTTGTCAATTGTGTTTTGCTGATTTTGTTCTATAAACTCACATATTATGTGCCAAATGAGAGTGAAATTTTAGAGACTAAGACAAATTCTACGTTCGTTCACATTTTTGACAAGAAACTATCAGTGGAAAAGAATTGTATACTTTTATTTTGCTTTTTCGACTTTCAGTTATCAAACTTGTCATTGTCTTATACTAATTCTCTTGTTATATCTCAAAAACTATATGATCACAAGCTTTTTCTTTCATGTTCAATCTTTATTGAAACAGCTTTCGTGTTGCTTGCGTATATTTAAATATATTTTCAATTTCTATTTGTAAAATATGTTCAATCGCTTTTTTTTTAATAGAAAAATTCAACTGACGAACGTATATCATTATTGACAAAGACATTGTTGAAAATGATCTATGCATACATAACACGTTCATTATTCAAAGCTGATCGACTGATGTTTGCTATGCATTTAGTGCATGGCATGTTTCCAAGAAAATTTCTTGAAAATGTGAGTATATATAACAATTTTATTCTTGTGTTTCTATTGACAATAGAAAATATTGTAGGAATTCGAACATTTTATTGGTTTATCATTGGCTGATGTTAAAGAAACACGTTCATTACCACAATGGGTTAATGAAGAACGAGCATTTGATGTTACCGCGCTAAAGGTATACACTTTGTTTTTCGGGTGAATTAATTCATCTCAAAAAATAAATGTTTGTGATTTTCTTTTTAGACAAATTTTCCTCAATTTTTTTCTGACTTACGATTGGATGATTCATCATGGGTAAAATGGAATTCAACAAATGAATGTGAATTATCATTTCCAGAAGATAAACGTTTGACACCATTTCAACAATTACTTGTTATTCAAGCATTTCGTCCTGATCGTCTAGAAAGTGCTATGCGTCAATTTGTTTGTCAATCATTGCGTATAAATGACATATCACCTGAAACATTAAATCTAAAAAAATTATATTCAAAAGAAACAATTTCCACTGAACCAATTTTAATTGTCATTTCTCCTGGTGCTGATCCATCGGCAGAATTGAGAGATTTAGCAACAGAAATTGTTGGAAAAGATAAATACTCAGAGGTAATCAATTACAATATGCTGAAATTATTCGAATAAAATCGTTATATCCCTTCTAGATAGCCATGGGTCAAGGACAAATGATAGTGGCAATTGATCTATTAAAAAAATGTTCCACTCAAGGAACATGGCTATGTCTTAAAAATCTCCATTTGGTTACATCATGGTTATCAACATTAGAAAAAGTATTTTTTAACAAGTTTTTTTTACGAATTTTGACAGAATTTCATATTATTTCTTTTCTTTTCTTTCTTCTAAGGAATTAAATATTTTGAAACCTCATAAAGATTTTCGTTTATGGTTAACATCTGAAGTACATCCAAAATTTCCAACTATTCTACTACAGTCAAGTATAAAAATAACGTATGAAGCACCACCTGGTATTAAGAAAAATTTATTACGTACATTTGAAATATGGACACCGGAAATGTTTAGTCATGGTAGTGTTACACGATCACAAGCACTTTTCGCGTTAGCGTGGTTTCATGCTATTGTACAAGAACGACGAAAATATATCCCACAAGTAAGAATTTTTATCTCTTCACTTGTAATAGATGTTCAACAAAATTTTATTTTAGGGTTGGACAAAATTTTATGAATTTTCTCAAGCTGATTTACGCGCTGGTTATGAAATAATCAATAATTTATGTGAACAAGCTGTTAAGCGAAGTAAGTCGTGTTTTAGGAACATTTCGAAAATTATATTTTGATCTATTTTTTTGTTTTCTTCTTTAGATAACGGTGAAATACAATGGGAATTTGTTCATGGTTTGTTTGATCAAGCCATTTATGGTGGACGAGTCGATAATCCAGTTGATACTGATGTATTAAAATCATATTTAACACAATTTTTTAATTCGGCTATATTTGGTGGTGCAAAGGGTTTAAAAATAAAATTTGGACCAGGCATTAGTTTGCCAAATTCGACTGAACATGGTGTAAGTAAACGAAAATGAGAATAAAGTGTCATCTTAATGTATTATGTTATAGTCATACAAAGAAATATGTGATAAATTAGATGATCAAGATTTACCAAGTTCATTTGGTTTACCAGCAAATATTGAAGGTTCAGCACAACGAATAAATAGTACACAGGTAATATTAGAGATTTTTAGCATATCTTATTGTATTCTAAACGATACATTTATGAATTGTTTAGATAATCAATTCGTTAAAAATCTTGATGAGAACTGATGTGGAAGTAGAAAAGTTTGATAAAGAAAAATGGAGTATATTATTGACTCCATTATTAAACTTATGGAAAAAATTAAATCAGGTATAAACGCAAAAATTATTTTATTCTTTCAATTCTGAAATATAAGTAACATTTAGGATTCTGATTTAATTAAAACCAAAGTATCATTACCATCCGAAGATGGTACATCACCACCAATCAAATCATTTTTACAATTAGAACGTTACAATGGTATTCACCTTGTACAAAATATACATGAAAACCTTGCCTCATTATCAAAAGTGATTCGTGGTGTTAGTCTAATAACAAACGATATTCAAGAATTTGCAAAAGATTTGTTACAACGAGAAGTAAGTTTGTAAAAATAATTAGGTTTTTCAAAGTTTTAACTATTTTTGTAGTAAAATTATGATAATGCCTCTTTTAACTATAACTTAGTTGATGTTTTCGTAAAATTTGTGATCAGCTAGAGCGTCATAGAGCCAGTGACAACATGAAGACTGAGTAGTTATATTGTTCGTCACGCACTTCATAATGCAGTGCTCGAACTTCGTCGGTGACTATTGTGAGCAAAAACCTTGTTGGTGTGCCTCGGATCATCGATCTGATAGCATAGTCATTGCATTGTGTCATACAGTATAGTTCCTCCGGTTAGTCTTCATAGCCTTTCGGAGAGCTAGTGCACTTGGTTAACGAGTGTGCATAATGAGTTCAAGCAGCTAAAAGTAAAAAACTGTGCGTCACACCAGCTTTCAGGCCGGAACTTTGATGACTATAGTAACGATGTGTTGGTCGTTTGTTAACTGTAAGGAAAATACCAGAAACGGACACTTGTCAGCACATTATATCATTAACTGTAGCCACATAACAGCATAGTCTTTGTTCTTTTATTGAGTTAGTGACGTCATGTAAATGGTCGTAATTATTAGAAAAATTTCAGTTCACAATCTCTAACAGCAGATTATTTAGGTTGGACAATGGCATTGGGGAGTAAGTATCTTGCTGATAATTAACTCTTGGATCATAAAATGCTTGTGATTACTTAAATTAGATCAGAATAATCAGTGCTATGCTGTACTATAATAATCGATTACGTTTATTAGCAAGAAATACGACTTGTTTATGGTCTCTATTTATCCAGCTTCTCCTTGATTTTTCTTTCATTTTTATTCTGATTTACAAAATTGTACAAAATTCTTTTATTTTCTATTTTTCTCCTTGATATGTGATGATAACTTTTTCTATTACTTAGACGCCACAAATATGGCAAGAACGTTGGGAAGGTCCATCGGATCCAATGCAATATATTCGCGCAGTTGTTGCACGGGCAAAAGCAATGCAAACTTGGTCATTATCAAAAGAAAGTGATCTCTTTCAACATACAATTAATTTATCTGAACTTTTTCGTCCTGATACATTTTTGAATGCTTTACGACAACAAACAGCACGTGAGAGTAAAGTATCTATGGATGAATTAGCATTGGTGGCGTCATGGAGTAGTTCGGATGGAATTAAACATGCCAAAATACCGATTAAAATTGGTGGATTACAACTAGAAGGTTGTTCGTTTGACGGATCAAGATTAGTTGAAAATGCGCCCGATTCACCAAGTGTCAGTGCGTTTCCTCCATGTTATATTGCATGGGTGCCAAAAGTAGGTCGATCACCACTTTTGCCTCCATTTTGTGACTGCTCACCATTTTGTTTTTATAGGATGTTTCCCAACAAGGTACTCGAGAAACAATTTCGTTACCCGTATATTTTAATTCTGATCGTGATAAAATAGTGACACGTTTAAATGTTCCGTGCGGATCGGATCAACAAAAATGGCTTCAATGTGGTGCCGCTTTATTTTTGAAAAATGTTTGAAAGCTTGGTTCAGATATGGTAGTTACTTAGATATTTTTATATAGAAAACTTTTATATATATGATTTTAGGAGTGAATACGGTTAAAAAACATTCTGCTAATTAAAAATATTTTTGTTTCTACTACTACTTGTGATGTCACATTATTTAATGTATAAAAATATGTTTGGAAAAAAAAGAATTTCTTCTTTAAACGACAATCCTGGACTTTACTAATAAAAGTTTTAATATTTATTCTAATATAAAATAAAGTTGTCGTAAATATGTTTGCAATAACTATATTGTGTTGATATAAAACAAGAAAATTTATCATCTCATAACATAAAATATTTCTATCACTATTATTAATATATTGAATTTTTTCTTTTTTATTTACCTTGAATGCAACCAGAAGTAAGCAAGTCTCAGTCCGGACTGGTAAGTTTTATTAACCAGACTGTGACTGATTATTTTCGCAGGCGTGGCTAATTTTTCAGATCAGTCCTTCAATTTTTGGGTTTTAGTGTAGAGAAAAATCTTTGATATAGGCATTTAAAGAAACAGTGTCATTTCGGTAAAAAGACACAAGACAAAACATGTAATAATAAATAACACACATAATATAATATATAATAATTATCCAAACTACAAGTTTCTCATACATTGAAAATGTTTATCAATACTTTATTCTGATTCATAGAAAAAAACTATAATAGATACATAATAACATTATTCATAACATACAGCCTCTTTGTTTTTAATGCGGTGCGAATATACATAGAAATTACATTTGATGATGTCGCTCAAGCTTTATCAATGTTATCAATGTTATCAATTTATCATCGAACACAAGCGCAAACTGAAGTTCTGCTTTATGTTAAAGAGTAACTACAATAAAGTTTGCGTGATAGGTAGATCTTAAGTTATAACTTATAAAGCTGTAAAGAGCTGCTGGATTTTTAACGTATATTTTTGTTGCTCCCTGTCTATGTATCTAACTGCACCAGTGATGGAATGTTGCTAATTCGATTAATAGATAAGGCTAATTCGAATCATATAACTTTGATTGTAATATTGGAGTTTCATTTTGATCAGCATTTTGATCAATAATAGAAACAACTGTGTGTATAGTGAAATGAAGTAGAGAACTGCTGAGAAGATCATGATTCATTCAAATCACAGATTTATTTTCACAATATTTCGACAGTCACTGCTGCCATTTTCAAGTGAAAAGAGATAGAACTATATATTGGCTTTCAGTAGACACGTATATATGTAAGTAAAAATAGAGAGAGAGTATCTCTCTCTCTATTTTTACTTACATATATACGTGTCTACTGAAAGCCAATATATAGTTCTATCTCTTTTCACTCTCTCTCTATTTTTACTTACATATATACGTGTCTACTGAAATGACACTGTTTCTTTAAATGCCTATATCAAAGATTTTTCTCTACACTAAAACCCAAAAATTGAAGGACTGATCTGAAAAATTAGCCACGCCTGCGAAAATAATCAGTCACAGTCTGGT